AAAAAATTGTGCAACTAATGGAAAATTTTGCTATTTAAATTCTTCTGCTTTGGATATGAGGGGGTCTAGAAAGATCATGTTTGTAGTTGCCAGTGTTTTTCGTTCGTATGAAGTCCTCGTTGAGGCATCGACTGATAAACAGATTTCAGACTTTCTAGAGATTGTAAGACTTGGCATATACGACGATGGTTAGTAAATATAAACGAAGAACACTTTCAAATAAACTGACAATTATCTGTCTTCATTTTCAATAGATTTGAGGGTACACATTATATCAATACTCCCAATCAATGTGTAAACTGAGTGACGGAAGTCCTATTGAACTTGATCTAGGGTCACAAGAGTAGTACATTTTACCATTATGTTCAATAATACGCTTATCGTGATCCATAGTTTTCGCGTTCATTTGTCATATATCAATGGGAGCGTACCCTTAATTATTGTTGTTATGACCTAGTACACAAAGAAAACCTTTGTAGATAGGACGAGAACCAACATGAGGACTAGATATACGTATCTCCCTTACGACCTTGTTAATGGGGTGAGTTGGTCCCCAGGGGCAAACGAGCTTCAAATCAGGAAAAAATAGATTTTATCAATTTTCGTGTGCTATAGTTCATAATATTTCGATGATATCGGATTTCAGCTTGTTTTTTTAGTGAATTGGTCCCGAGGGGCAAACGAGCTCCAAAGAAGGAAAAAATAGATTTTATCAATTTTCGTGTGCTATAGTTCATGATATTTCGATGATATCGGATTTCAGCTTCTTTTTCGTGAGTTGGTCCCGAGGGGCAAACGAGCTCCAAAGCAGGAAAAAACAGATTTTATCAATTTTCTTGTGCTATAGTTCATGATATTTCGATGATATTGGATTTCAGCTTGTTTTTATCGAAATTATTCATGGACTTTTGTTATGATCTTATTAATGACATGAGTTGGTCTTGATGGACAAACAAACATATTTTCAACTTCAAACGAGCTCAAAACATGAAATTAGATTTTATTGATTTTTATGTGCTACAGTCTATAATTTTTTGTGATATTGAATTCTGACTAGTTTTTTATCAAAATTTTAATTAAAATTCTGATTAAGGGTGAAGTGAAATAAAAGATATGCCAGAAACAATGAATTCTTTTTTTCTAGAATAAATTTGGCAACACAGTTTTCTGGAGGACAGGAATAAGTGACATTTCATAAGAACTAACAAGTACAATATTAGTAACCATGGTTGTGATGAGGTCGTAGATATTCATTCATATAGAATTGTTTTTGTTAGAAAGTATTTTATCTAATATAAAACTTTTTGGTGTAAATTCGGCATAATACACGGCGGTGGGAAATAAATAAAATAAAAAGTATAGTACTATATTAATAAATGAAATCTATTTCTTTTGTGATTTTATAACTTTATTTCTAGTTTTGTATCCTTTTTCGAAATTTTATTATTTTTGGAATAACGCAAGAAAAAACTTTATAGGTTTTGTTTTCTTATACCAAATTATAAAGGGTTATGATTATCAATTTCTTATACTAAAATATATAAAATTACAAATTAACACTTTTAAAATAAATTTTTTAATTTCAAGTCAATATAATCTTAAATTATTACCAAAAAGAATTTTTTTTATTTTGCTAGACAATTTACATTAAAACTTCAATTAAATTCAGATCAGACATCACAAAATTTATTTTTAAATAATATTTTTATAATTTTTTCCCGTATCTAGAGCTCAAATTTGAAACTACGGCCCGAAAAGAAACTAAATAGAAGTGTAAAGTGTCGACATCTCAACCTTACATACACATTACAATGCAAAAATTGTCGAAGAAAAAATAGTAAGAATTGTAAGGAAAACAACAAAAACCAATTGGACCAAATATGGAAAGAGGCAAAAACTTGAAAAAAAAGCCATCATCATCATCACAATCTTTAATTTTATTTTTTCCTTTTTGTCATTTCAATGAAAGAAAAAGGGATAAGAATCCACAAAGAGAAAAAAAAAAAAAAAAAAAAAAAGGACAAAACCAAAGTACTGTTTTATGATCAGAGAAGTCATAAAATTAAAAGAAGTCTTCAATTGAGAATTTGAAAGAAAATATTGATCTGATTTTTTGAACCAAGTACTCAAAAATGATTGATGCAATAAAAAAAAAAGACCTATATATTACATGGATAATTTTCGAACTCGTCTGATTGAAAATAAATTATTTCAAAATTTAGCTATTTTGCAATAACTTATTTTTTTATATTATTCATATGATATAAACGGTGAGATAAATTATTTTAATAATTAACGACTAAAGAAAACACTAAATTTTGTTCCTAAATCATTTTTATCCAAAAATTATTTATGTTTGTCTCTCTACTAAAAACCTGGTAATCTTATCATATGCTCAAGAGTAATTTTTTTAGTTGTCACTCATGACTCAACTCATATAAGATATCTTATTAAATCTTTATTGTTTTAATATTTAATTTTATCTTATTAAAATGACTTCTTTGTTTTTTTCTCAAGACAATAAAGTCGTCTAACTATTGTTTTTGATTCACAAAATACAAACACATATGTGTCATATCATTATTCAAATCCTACTTTTTATATATAATCTATTATTTATTAAAAATAAACATATACTACATAATTTTTTTAAAAACATTTCATGAGATAGTTATTTCTTTACGTTACTGATTGTTTGCAATAAATTTTAAATATATAAAAAATAAATAAATCATACAAATAAAATATGAAAAAACATAATTTTATTGATTAAGATAGCGGATATTTCTTAATTCTACTCTCTAAGGATTTATTCATGATTCGAGAATCGTTAGTGGCGTATTTCTCGAACTAGGATTATTTAGATTTGATCTCTCTATCAACAATCCATCAATTTGTGGAGTATTCGAGGTCTTGATCTCTTTATGAAATTTCCGAGATACCTTTTAAGGGAATTTAGTACCCTTTATATATGCATAAACTAGGGTTTAGGATTGAGTAGTCTGCAAAAATCCTAATATGAGTTGAACACAATTTGTAAAGTCTCAACTAAAATTAAACATATCAAGTAGAATCACACAAAATTTCAATCTCTACACTAATATTATAAACTTTCATATATTTGCTATACATAAGCATAATATCATGAGATATAATATATAACTAATATCAAATTAGTTATATATAAGTTTAAAAAAATACCACGTAAAATATGAATATAATATACAAAATTAGTACATCTATTATGTTCTTTAATACACTCTATCAAACCTATCCGATTCAATCAAAAATAAGCCATCATCCTAGTGTGTTAATGAAATTTAAGAACGTTTCATTTCATCAAATCATATCGTTATTCCCTTCGAAATTAATATATGTATTGTATTTTTAGGTATAATATATAAATATATTTTTTAATTTCACTTTAATAAATATCTGTATCCTTCAATTTTAGGCGTGCAAAAGTAGACATTTAAATTTATATAAAATTATACAAGTGGACACACTATTCCACATAGCATAATACATATAGGAGGCCATATAGAACGAATATGTTTAATTTTATACAAGTTTGAGGGTTTTACTTGTTTACACCCAAAATTAGAAATTATAATTATCTGCTAAAGCTAAGTTAAACAACATGTTTATATACTATGCCTATTTTTTAATACACTCTACCAAACGTCCTGGATCGAAAAAGACCATATAAATCCTATTGTCTTTGATGAAACTAAAAGAACAAAAGGCTATTATTTTCATCATATATCATATTGAAAGAAAAAAAAAATGTTTCACATTCAAAGAATCAAACCACAGTTTCATTTTCCAACCCCACTCTCCAACAAATGCCAATTCTCTTGCTAACTAAAAAGACACTACTGTTGGATTACCCCATCCACATGTTATAGCAAAAGTAATGTCTTTTTCATATATTTATGAGAACCACAAAAAACTAGAGTAGGCTATAATAACAATAAATAAATAAAAAAACATACACAAATACATTGAGACTGAATTGAGAAAAGTCTTTAATTCTGGCATTTTTGCAGAAAAAAAAAAACTGCAAAGCAAATTTTGCCAGAATGAAAGAAAAGAAGAAACTTCGTCATCATTTGTCAGCTCTCTCTATACTGCACACAGATATGACTCAAACTTCAAAGCTAAACCCCCCATGCCAACTTGCTCCCACTTCACATTCTATCTTTCGCAACTTGTCAATTTTTTTTTTTACCGAGTTCGAGATGTATTGGTGAGACTGTTAGATTATTTATTTGAGTCGAGAAAAATAAATTATTTCGGATAACTTATGGTATTTTAAATGAGACGACAAATTTTTATTCCAAGATTATTACTCTTACACCGAACGATCTTTTAATTATAAGTTTTGAGTTTGAGTTCTGAATATGAGGAGTTACTCTCGAATGGATTTTGCGGTCGTATTGTTGTATATCGGTGAAACCGTTTCGTTTTTTATAAGAGATTTTGGATTTGTATTGGTGTATTGTACGCTGATGAAATTGCTCTATTGTTAATCAGAGATTTCGTGTTCGAATAAAAAAAAATCGAAACCCTAAGTAAGAAGAATCATTTTCAATTAAGTTATGCAATGTATGATTCAAATTTAATCGAAATTTTTTATATAATAACAAAAAAAATTGAAACCTAAGCATGAAAGAACCACTCTCAATTAAGTTATGCAATATATGATTCAAATTTAAGCCAGACTTTAATGTATAAGATTCGAACACCAAGCCAAAAAAATTTAGATATTTTTGGTCATTATTTTAAATTGACCAAAATGCAACTAAGATGAAGAAAAACTATTTCTTAATGGAAAAAAAAAAAGGAACCTTTTTCCTTCTTTTGGAAACAATCTTTGAAAAATTTGCACTCTGGTTTTTCAAATCCATAGTTTAAGATCTACCATTAATTCGAGAATCATTCGAAAACAGTCTCTTTCACCTTCACGAAATAGAAATATGATCGAAATAATATTTTGAGTAATCAATAAAATATCTCATGGCTAATGTGTTTCAACAATAATACTACTTCAATTAGTACCAAAACATTCTCCTCTTTCCCTACTAAAATAAACAACAAATTTTTTTTAAAAAAAAAGGACTAATCCACAGTACATTTGTTTTTTGATTAACATAAAAGATAACAAAAATAAACTAAAGTCAACTAAATAAATAACTAAAAAAAAAAAAGTCCCAAATTACAAAAACCCAGATTAGTGAAGAAAATTTGACAGCATAAGAGAGCACAGATCCCAAGAATTTTCAGTAAGGCGGTGGTTGTGGTTGTCTAGCAGTAGGAGCCCATATCACATCCGACGGCAAATGACAGCTGTACATCGACATCCCACAACTTTCCGGCGCCGTCGTTGACGGTGGATGTCCACCATCTCCTCCACCGGAAACCTCCGCATGCTGCTGCGGAGACGATCCATCTTCATTTCCACCACCAGAATTATTCCTTGCTAATTCCTCCTCCGCCGGTAACCGATGAAAAGACGGACCGTTAAAAGTTGCAGCGATTAGGTAAACCGTCCCGGCCGTAACTAGAGGCCCAACTACACCACCACCTACTACTTGACCTTGTGGACCTGCTAATGAAATTGTGAACCCATTTGCTATCCCATTGTTCGATGGAATATTCGCATTCGGCTGAACAACAGTGGCAGAAATCGACAATATATCGAATCTGCCATGAAAGGTAACCGTCGAAACCGGCGTAGTTGATGGTTGCCGGAGAGTTACATTCGTTACAGTACCTTTTTCAAAAAATCCAAAAAAAAATATTGTTACATTTTGCAATTATCTGTCAATTGATGAGATAGTAATGATTCAGATTCCGATTATCAAAAAAAAAAATTACCTGAACCGTTAAGAACACAAAGACCCATATTCCGTTTTCTACAGAATTTGGTAACAGAGTTGATTATATCAACACCAGTCGGAATTTCAAGTATATAAGGACTCATAGATGGTTCCGCATCGCGAGTAATGATAACAGGTGGTTTAGGTTTGTTTTTCGAACCAGGCGGCCGGCCACGGGGACGGCGAACAACCTCAATCGTAGCACCGTCGTTACCGGCGGGTTGCTGCTGCTGCGACGGCGGTGCTACTGCATTAACCGGTTGAGGGTTTAAAGTATCGTTTCTGTTCGCAGTACTGTCTGCTTCCTCCGAAGTTTGGCATTCTCGCGTCAGCTGAAACGGTGGATGTTGAAAATTGTGGTGGTGCTGCTGCTGCTGCTGCTGGTGAAGGTGGTGGTGGTGTTGAAAAGATTGAGGAGATTGATTTTGGTGGTGATGATGAATTTTACCAAACATAGTGTTTGTGTTACTATCTTTATTTTTATTTTTTTCTTCTAGTACATACTCCCTTTTCATTTGATATAAAAAAAAAAAGAAGAAGAAATTGAAATTAATACTATATTTCCTTCTTTTATTATATGATATGATATAGATGAAGATGAATAAGATAGTGATTGGATTGCGCAGATGGTATGGGCAAATTCCAATATATTATATATTATAATTAATAACAGTGATAAAAGAAAGAGGGATTTTGATGAACAGATAAGAGAAAAAAAAGAAGAGATAAATGAAAGAGAAATGTGGTTTTGGAGTTTTCTTTAAAAAAGAGTAGTAATAAATGAATTGTGAATATAGATTTGTAAGTTTTGTAGTGGGGTGGGTGAGCTTGGAAACTAAGTAAAGACTAATGGCGCCGTCTGGTTGAAACGAAAAAAAAAAAGTAGGCTCCACATATGGTGTTTTGGTTTAGCTTGAACTTCTACTCACCGCCATACTTTTTTTAAAAAAAAATTAGTGTTTTTTTTATAAAAAAAATGTACGAGTATTAGCACGGAATTTTAAAAATATATTTATATTATATTAAAGTCTTATTAATTTTAAATTTATTTTATAAGTAATTTTTATCTCTTTTCAATATACATTGTATTAGTTTGGAAAAAAAAGTCAACTAATATTGACCCATAAGATAAAGAAATAAAAAATTATTAATAAAATAAAGGGAGAAGGGTTAAAAATGCCCTCAACGTATTCCAAATAGTTCAAAAATGCCCTCCTTCCACTTTTTGGTTTAAAAATGCCCTTAATGTTTTTTTAAGGTATAAAATTGCCCCTTTTTAACGGCCTGCTGACATGGCAAATGATGAATCATTAAATTAGACAAATGCCTTCATCTTATTGGTCCACCTAAATTTTCATAATCCAGCCCAACGACCCGACCCATCTATGTTATAAAAACTCAAACCCACCCACTAACCCGTTTACGTTTTAACCTAATATATTCTTGAACTCCATTTTAGCACACGATTCTCAGCCTTTCTTTTTGTAGCAGTCGCCGAAGATGGAGGAATAAGGTTGAAAATCACAACACCTTCTAGTTATGTTGTTTTGTTACTTCAAGTTTTCATTCAGTTGATTTCATTACCCTGCAACTAAGGTAATGTTTTATTTTTTTAGAATACAGAGTATTTGAGTATCTATTAAAAAATCATGTATTTTGAATTTTTTTATGCTTTCTTTGTATTGTGTTAGTTGTAGTGGTCCATGTCCCTTCTCTTTTATTTGTCTTTGTCTTCATTATTGTAGAATTTTTTTTTACTGCTAGTGGAGTCCAAACACCTTGTGTTTTTGCTGATTTTTGTATTATTAATGGTTGTTAGACAACATGGTTGATTTGTTTAGCTATGTGTATTGTTGATTTGTTTTACTTGTCAAAAGTTTATTTTAGTATTATTATGTTTTATGGTTGAAAGTTGCGGAAGAAAGAAACAGAATACCACTCCAAACTAATGAGAGAGACATGAATAAATTGATAAGAAATGTGCAGCAATTTTATTGAGTTAGATTTCTATAATGAAAACCAGAAGCAGATGGAACGTATGAATTAAAGGAAAAGAAGAAAGAAGAGAACTAAAGCAATGGAAATAAAGGACCCAAAAACGATTGTCGGGTCAATTTTTTAGAAATTGATTTTTAGACCAAATGGGTCATAAATTTTGAAATGTTTTAAAAAAAATTCATGTCACGTTTGCCATGTCAGCAGACCGTTAAAAAAGGGCAATTTTAAACCTTAAAAAAACGTTAAGGGCATTTTTAAACCAAAAGGTGGAAGGAGGGCATTTTTGAACCATTTAGAATACGTTGACGGCATTTTTAACCCTTCTCCCTAAAATAAATTCAGAGGGTAATAAGACTTTAGTATGGTGTAATTGTATCTCTAAATTTTGGATATAAATTAAAAAATACTCGTACATTATCTTTTTTTTTAAAAAAAAATTGTGAAAATAGACAACTAAGAGAGACGGTGATGTTAAGTGAAAATCGTAGTATAGGAAGTAAGAAAAAGAATTTTTATTTATATATACATATATATTGAATTTATATTTAAGATATATATTTTATGCGAACAATATAATTTATCTGAAGATTTAAGCAAATGAGTATTTAGGATTTTTAGATGATTGGTGCACTATTATAAAAAGATTGATCTAAGCTATAAATTTGATTCATTTCACATTTTGTTTTTTAGGGCTGAAAATCGTTAGATTTTTGTTATTACAGGTTCAAAATCATTCTCATATATATATATATATATATATATATATATATATTGGTTAGCACTTAGAGAAGTGTTATCTAATTTTAGAAAGAAAAAAAATAAATATAAAATTTAAAATTTCAATCTTACGTAGAGGAGATGCACTCAATTATTATTGCATTATGTGATACTTCGTATGTGAATTCACATATCTATATTTTATATTTTTTTATAAAAAATAAATATAATTACTTTATATGATTTAAGCACGAGTTCACGTGAACTCAATAATCCCCTTCGAATACGCCACCGAATGTAAGTAGTTGACTTTGAGAATAAAATGTGAAAAAATCGTTTGAGATGATCTATATATGTACCTCCAATCTATTGATTGGTAGAATAAATCAAAAATCATATGAAAGAACTATCTTAAAAAAATTTAAAAAATTCTCATATATACCAATTTTAGCTAAAGATAAAGCATTAATTAAAGACAAATTCTTTATAATTTTTATTTATGAATTGAAAATATAACTTGATAGAGGATATAATAGTATTAGTTTTTAATTATTTTTTTATCATAATGGTAATGATGTGAATGAGTTCAAATGAAAATGTAAAAGATAATTAAAGTTGGTGGATTTATGTGTTTTTCTAGTACAAACCTTCATAAATAGTAATTGCCACTCCCTAATATATGTGAGGTCATATGAGTTACTAATTAAATGCCATCTAATGATATGTCTCACTTGGTGTTATCTTGGCATTAACATGATATAATATTATATATTTATATTTTATATATTATAATAGAAAGTAGAGTACTTGAATTTATTCAATTCACAATTCAATATATCTAGCTCACATTTTTTGACATTATTCTAATTTTCCTTTTTTAGTCCAATTTCCTAAAATGTCAAATATTTGGATAGCTTTCAACAACCTTTAGCTTCATCCTTAAGTGTTATCTTCTGCCAAAATAGTAAGTCTACTTTGGAAAAAAATAAATTATTTTCTCTTTTTTAAAAAGAATAATTTTTTTTTATTTTTAATCTGTTTAAAAAAAGAATAATTTTTTTTATAATAATTTTACACGTGACATGTTTAAGACTACAAGATCAAAGGGTAATATCATATATTTAATATAACTTTAATTTAAAATTATATAATAAAAAAATCTTTTTTATTTTTTTAAATTTCGTGTCAAGTCAAATTAGATGATAAGTATCTAATTCTTCAAAAAGGGATAATTAAAATTGTCAAATTATTTTATGTTAGACCAACATATAATAGTAAAAAGATTTATTCACACATCAATTATTTTTTCTTTTAAAAAATGGAAGCAATCTTCTATTATTCTATCTATAATTTAATAAAGTTGAATTTAATTTTTATTATCCCAAGTTTTCTTTGAGATAATTAATTCTTGTTTCTTTTGTTTTACCTTTTTCCTTAATCAAATGTAGAGTTATTGATACTTATCGTTTCTATGCATGAATGTTCGCTAAACACATCCTAATCATGATTTAACACCTCTAATTACAATTATTTCAGTCTCATATGAATTATTTTCTATTTTTTATACATATATTAAGAAATAAATAAAAAAAATAATTTTATTAATTCTATTTTTAAAAAGATTTTGAAAGTTTTACAAACAAGTGTGAAGACTTTGAAATAGAATTAAGTTCAAGGGTTATACAAGAAAATTTTAATTAATATTATTTTGATTTAGTAAAATGGACAACTAATGAGCATATATAATTATTTTTAATAAAATAATCAACTAATGTGAGACGAAAAAAATAATTATCGGGCTCTCATTTGACGTGACACAATTAGGTGATTGAGGAATAAGAATTAATCCAAATTAAAGCGTTTAATTCTGTCCGTCTACCTAGAATATGCAAACTATATATAGCAAGTTAATTAAGTTTGTTATAGTCTCTCCGTTTATCTTTATTTGTTCAATACATTAAAAATTCATTACAATCTAACTTTATTTGTTTAATTTAAAAAATCAAGAAGTAATTTATCATTTTATCTTATAGTATTCATTTTTTAATTAAACTACAATTTATCAAATCAAATCTAAACAAGTAAAAATGAACGGAGTGAATAATAAATTACACGTTTCGAAACCTAATTGGCAAAAATCTGAATAAGCCCCACTTCTATAATCTTAGGGAATCACACGTTTATTACTAATGTATTTATTTTTATATGGTTTAATACCTTTTGTTAAACCAATAAAAACAAGTAAAAAGTACCTCATTATCTAGGAGTTATGTTAATTAGTCATTAAATGGAATAAGTCATGCTAATTAAGAAAATTAATACTAATTAACACATGTTTTTAGCCTCTTTTTTTTTTTTTTTTTTAAAAAAGAAAAGAGTAATTGTCAAAGGTTGTAATGATTTTATCTTATGCGTTACGTGTGAATTGATTTGTTGACGATGAGATTAGAAAGTCAAAAGGGGTTGGGTAGGCAAGAGTTGGTGTACTAGTAATAGTTTACTTTAAATATCAATAGTAGATAGAGAGAGCGTAGTAATCGGTGACGGATTCAAAATATTATTAAGGTGACTAAAATATAAAGAAACAAATATATTAATTAAAGAAGATTAATCTATTATATATATAAAAAATAATTTTAATTATACGTAAAGAGTGTTAACTTTCATGTAAGGAAATTTAGATAAACTTTTCGCCTCTGGTAAAGATAAAGTGGAGTTTGAATTATAAGAATATAGAGAATTTCTTTATAGGGATCATTTAACACTCTTTATAGTGATAAAAAATCAACGTTTTTATCAAGATAATTTAAAATATAAAATGGTTAGAATATGAAGTAACGTTTTCAAAAACTGAATATACTTATTAGTATAATTTTTGACGAAAAATATAGAATTATAAATCGATTCTCCTTGAATAAAAATAACCTTCGTTACATTCAACCTAAATTTAAATTAATCGAATTAGTTAGCTCAAATATCAGATGATTAAACCGAAAAAGGAG